TAAATGTTCAGAGTGTTTAAAGGAACACAGTGAACCCCAGGTATAACCAATTTACAAAAAATATATAGTTTGTTACTAAACCTGCTCCCTAGTTTCCCTGCCAATTTTTGTGGTTTTACAATTGCACTTTCCTGTCTTGCTAAATAATCCTTTTTGTTGCTGTGTGACAGACCCACACAAACAGGGGAAGCACTGAAACTCACTTATTTAAATATTGTCAAATGCACAAAGTAAACACAAAAATGGAGAAATAATTTGTTGTTCTTGCAAATTATAGTACACCTTTTGTAAGAGATTAAATTGGGTATGTACTCTTGAAAGAGAGAAAATGAATGGATTTCACGAAATTATGAATTGAATCCAAATGTCCCATTAAACATACACATCTAAAAATCAAACTGGAGGAAAACATAATATAACTTATTTCACTCAAATGTTTAGAAATATGATATGGAATAAATTATGAAGGATCTATCAAAACAGAGATCACCATCAATTTGCAGACAGTTCAAGTCTGCAAAAAAAAAGCAGCATTGTCAAAAATCATAACTGAAAGATTTTAAATTTATGCAGTACCTAATATGAGTGAAGTTATGTTTTCTAAAAAGAAAGGAAAGTCAATATTTAAAACTTTTTTCTAAGAATCTTACAAAAATGCTAACTGGGCGGGAGGTAGAAATATCAATTCATTTAAGAAGTTTGTAGCTGAATCCAGTTGACCTTTAAAGTATCCTTTAATCTTTTTAACCCCTCCACAAATTCAGTCTTCATATCCACCATAATCACAGAATGCTGGTGATATCATATTGTATTTGAAAAACACAAACAAGCAATTTATATTTTTAAGGTGCATTATCCCTTTTCTGGTTTAACTGCCATATATTATGCTATTCCACATTGTGGAATAGCACACTCTTAGAGGAAAACATTATTTTTAAAAAAGATTTAGATAAAATGTGTGCAATTTTAATGCCTTGACTTACTACTCATGTTACTAAACATAAGCATGTGCTTAATTGTTGGCAGGATTGGGGCCTAAACTGCTTGCCAAGAGAACCATATTTTTATCTTTTTAATGAGTTAGAGAATCTGTAGAAGTTAAACTCTAGCCATGGGACATGTGAATTGGTAGGATATTGTCTACTTACAAGTAAGGCTATTTATTAGTAGTGCAGGGTTCTGTTTGTATAGGATCCTGAAAATGTAGAGTTAGAAAATAATAATCTTGATAGTGTATGAATATTAGTAGGAGATATCTGTAGAATTGATGGGTAGAAGCTGGATTTGTAACCTGTAAGAGATGGCATAGAGCATTCTGGCTTGCTTTAAAAGAAGTAACCACAAAAGTTGAAGTGTTTTTATGAAATTATTCTAGGCATATTCTTCCTTTTGTATATCTGCAAAATTTAACCTTTTGCTTTTGTGAATGAGGGTGGAAGAAGAACAGAACCCATCTCATTAACTATAATATATTTATCTGCCTGGTTATTCACCACACATTGCTGTTTCAAAGATGGAGTAAATTGATCAGAATCTTACCTTTTAACAACTATATTGACTTAAAAAAAAAAATGGAGAGAGCAGCCATTAGTAGTGATGAGGCTAATTCTTCATGTATCTAAAACTATTTAGCATATGGTGCTATTTTAACTAGCAAAAATTCTCTTATTCCCCTCTTGAGAGGGCTTAAATGCCATGTAGTCATGAGTCTGAGAAAAATCAAATTATTGGAGTAAATTTAACAAAAAGGGATGAAACATCTTTTTAAGATCTTTTGATTTCCTGGCCACTGAATGTGGTGTTCTAGGCATGGTGTCGCCAGTATATGTGTAAAGCATGTAGTCATTACCATGGTCTGATTTTGTGTTTTAGGTGACAGAATGAAAGGCCACAGTTGGTTGGCAACTAACTCACTTTTGGGTTAAACAAATATTAACCCCACTTCTGTGTGTCACTTGGTCCAGACTTCAAAAGCATGCTATTGGATAAGAGTTTGATTGTTCTGATTTTAAACTTGACCACTGCACCATGTTTCTTTCACCTGCTATTTTGCTTTTTGTCATTGCACATTTAGCTGGCATGTTAAACTGCTCATGTGCTGTGTTTGTACAAGCTACCATTATTTTTCATTATTTATTTGCTTTATTAGTGAACATAAGTATTATCTTACTTTTAGTGGCTGCTCTTCACTGCATGGTTTGAATGCCAAATAATCCTTCTTCTCAGGCCTTTCAGGTTCTCTTTGAAATGTCTGGAGAAAGTGTATTATTTAAACCTATGTGTGTATGTCTGGGCATACATTTAAATAAGGCTTTTAAATCAGTACTGTTTTCATTCATTACATGTGTGTGTTGCTCAACTGTGCCAAGTTACAGGTGTTGCTGGGCATCCGGCTTGGGTTATTAAATTTACTTCAAGTAAGTACCCAAACACTTTGGATTCCTTTTTAGCCAGAAATCTGTACGTTTGCCTTAACTACATTAATCAGTTTAGTTGTATTTATTCGTAAATCTGAGCTGGCCATCTCTCTGTAGACTCTCTAGACAGAAATACAGAACCTACTGAATTGGAGATCACTGTCTGCTTGTGCACACTTGCTCACTCTATGTGGGCCTTTCACTTCCTGAAGCATATACATACCTGCCATACCGAACATGTTTTGAAAAACAGTTCCTTCACCCTAAAGCAACGGTTATAAAAAGTTCCTGGTGTGAATATCTTTAAAGAAAGATAACAGAATGCTAGAAGTTGTGAAGAAAATTCTGACTTGGTTGGTATGGTAGGGGCAGCTAGAGATCAGCACCGCTACATAGCTTTGCATGTAATGGAATCTTGATACTCAAGGAAAACTTTCAAAATTCTGTGAAACTATATAATTTTTTCTGAATTAAGGCAACTGACAAAATACAGATATTGTCTAATTTCCTTTTAGAAAATAGTTATTCTTGAAAAGAATTAAATGCTTTAAAAGAACTTAATAAATGACAAGACACGGAGCAAGTCTACTCTACTGCGCTACATCAGCACAGCTGCACGTCTGGTGAAGAAGTACTATGCCGTCGGGAGAACGCTATCCCATTAGCATCATTACTCCACCTCTGCAAGAGGAGGAAGCTATGTTGGTGGGAGACACTCTCCCTTAGAATTTGATTGTACGGCATCCAACATATGCATAAGAAGAAAAGAGGAAATTGCCTTAATTTACAGTTGCATGAGCCATAGCAACACAATTCTCAGAATTTGAAAACATTTTTGAGAAAAGGGTGGTAATGCCATGCTCTAGTTACAGAAGCATCACTTTCAAGCTTACTGGCAGGAGGAGGAAAGGATATGCACCATGCCTAAATGCCAGTTTAGTCAATTTTGAATTTATTTAAATTGCCTCCTTTTGACTGATGCTCCTATTTCTTTCTTCAAGAATGAAATCAATTAAGTACTTCCGGTCTGAGGTTTTGTTGGAGTGTTGAGCTATCTCCAGGTTTTGCAGACTCAAAATGGAAACCGGCTTTGTGTGTGTGTGTCTGTGTTTGGTGAAGTTAGCCACTTTATCCCAGTCTTTGAACAAGGGAAGACTAATAGATATTGAGAGAAGGAGCTGGGAATTCTTGGGTTTTGTGTACAGTTATTTGATGCCATACATTATATTCCCCGACTAAAAGTAGAGCAAAATTCCTTTAAGCCTAAGTAAGCTGATATTTTCTTTAATACAGACTAGGTGAAACTATATTAAACCTGCCAAAAACCAGATACCTCTTCTTGGTGCTGGGCTTCCCCTTGACTGGTAACTGAAGCCATGAAAATATCCAATTGATTGGCTATATTGAAACTTCTATCATTATAGGAGAGAACATTACTTCTTGCCAGTAAGAACTCCTTTTAGCTCTCTCGCTCTCTCTTTCCACCCCAGGACTTGGAGCTGTTGTTTCATGTAACCTTACTGGAAGTAGTCTTCCTTTCACAGAGATGGTTCTGACACCCTTGTTTAAAAGTGCTATATTCTGAGCGATTCAGCTGGGAAAAGCCAAATCAGTCTGTGCATGTTGTGATTGACTGGGCGATTTGGCTGGGATTTCCTAGTGTTCTAAATTCCCAGCTTGTCTTGTTTTGTATTTTTATCTCCACTTGGGATATGTTGCAGCCATAACAAAACTTGTAAAAGCTCAAATTCAACTATATACATCTGGGAACAATGCTATGTTTAATCTCAAAAAGTGAGAATAAAATCTCCACTTCGAACATTTTACAAAAAAATTCCACATCTGTATTTGGACAGAGTCACCCGAACACTAATGTGGATTCCAGAAAGCGTCGGCGAATCTAATCCTGTGGTATCCAAAACTAGATTTATTATCGTAACTCTTGGTCTGTTAGTGATTGGGTTTCAGCTTGTCACATTCATGTAATTACCATGTAAATTTGTCAATCTTAATAGGGTAGATATGCCCTTCCCATGTAAAATCAGACCAGTTTAAGTAACTGGATGGAGTGCATTTGTGCCAGAGTGACTTGCCACCAGGAATGAATACAGACCTATTAGGCCATTTTCCCCCTCGTGCATAGCTGAGATTAATCACTGAATTTAACTGGTATTGTCTTTCAAAATGACTGGAGCATACAGTGCCTACTTTGAAGAAAAAGGCATGAGTATAGCACTATTGACATATTTTACTGTAGCAAGAGACAAAATTGCAACATTGCAGCTCTGGAGTCAGAATTGTTAAATATTTTTACCACAATTTCATTTGGAATTAATTTTTTACTTACTATGTCTTCTGAATCCAACCAGGGCCATGCCTTGTTTGATATTAATTTTAAAAAGAAAATTGTCTTTGGCTTGGCAGAATTCACCTGAATTTGTATTATGACACTCTCAATGACATGTGTGCTAAAGTAGCTCAGAATTTCCTCAGAATTTAGGCTCGTGGATTTCTGTGTTAGGTGCTGTCTTTTCCCCCTTTCCAGTCCTAATCGTTCTTCCTATTATGTTGTAACTAAACTAGGACTTGCCATCTATACAGGCTGGAAACGCAATTCACTGACTCCTAGGACAACCATTTTTCCTTGTCCTGGCTGCCGGCATGATGTGGATCTGGGAGAACGTGGCATCAATGGCTTATTTCGAAATTTCACCCTGGAAACTATTGTGGAAAGATACAGGCAGGCAGCCAGGGCAGCCACTGCTATTATGTGTGATGTCTGCAAACCTCCACCTCAAGAATCTACAAAGAGTTGCATGGACTGCAGTGCAAGCTATTGCAATGAATGCTTCAAAATATATCATCCTTGGGGAACTGTAAAAGCCCAGCATGAGTATGTAGGACCAACCACTAACTTCAGGCCCAAGGTAAGTGGTTTTTAATCTGGCATACCTTGCAGATCTTTTCATTTCTTGTATCTGACCTGATGCTGCAGAGCAAATGTTGCCCATAAAAAGTAATTATCTATTGGATAATCTTACTTTTTGATTTCCATCACAATCATCTATTAAATGAGTTGTAAGATTTTGCATTAAAGTTATTAATCTGGTGCCAAAGAGGTAGGTGTTGACAAATGCAGGGGGAACATATTGGAAGTGGACCATAGACTCTGACTGCATCAAATTAAATGTGTTGGGTGTGGGGCTTTTTAAGAACAAGGTGTTAATAATTTTAGTCTGTTCGTGGTCTTAAATAATGTGTTTTTTATTTAAAAAAAAATCATTGCAGTGGGTCTATTCTAGAAATGTAGCACAATAATAATAGTTTTGTAACAATAGTTCTTTCTTTCTCTCTCCTCCTCCTCTGCTGCTTTCTTCCTGCACTCTTAGTGGTAGCAAAAGTGAGTCCCTGGCACAATTATGTGGTAGGTGTGTGGTGGAATGTGTGGTTCCCATGTTGAACTTAAAACCTAAACTGTGTAAATGTCCCCATTTGATGACTTTGGTCACAACTGCCGTCCTTCCAACATAAGACAGCTGGAGAGCACGTAACAATCATCTTTGTAGCTTATTAGGTCCCTACAAACACCAAAAATATTGCTGAATTTGTGTAGCTCTTGTGTCTGTGTACCCAAGATAATGTAGTACTGCTTTCTTAAAATATTAATCTTCTAGTTCAGATATTAATCTTCTTTAATTTGGTTCACTATAGGCTGAAAGGCATGACTAATTTGGTCCAAATATGTATGCGTTAAGTAACTGACCTAGAGAAAATGTAAAGTAATTCTAAAATCAGGGAGGCAAATAGACTTACAGGTTTGGATTTTCTTTTTATGTAAAGATTTGCGTCATCTGGAGGTTTTATGCTAACAGCTACATATTTTCTATTAGCAGCTCTTTTAAAAATATATGTTTAAACTTAAGCAGGACTCTAAGGTTAAAATCTAGTCATGGTTCTATGTTCTAGAAAGTCAAGGCTTAGCAGCGAAGCTGAGTTATAGTTCTGCAGAAGTTTTGTGTAATTTGAAACCAATTAATGTTCTTTCACATTCTGTTGCTATCCAGACTACTCTAGCTGCTTCTACTTTGTTATAGTTATTTAATCTTTCTCCTTTAGAGAAGCAGACTGATCCAAGTTTAGTGCAGATGGAAAAGCCTGAAATTATTAAAAATTCTGTTTTCAGTATTGTACGGTTAATTAACTTAATATGATTTTTTTAACAAAATAGTCTCCAAGATTAATTTACATGAAAAAATTAATAGTATTCCTGCAATCTGACAGAAAATCCAACAGTACAAAACTATATAATCCAAATAATAATGTAAAATAGGTAATTGAATGAAACAAAACTTTGTTTGCATGTTTCTTACTATACTTTTTTTTTTACTTGTAAAGACTTTGTGTATGTTGGGAAGAAAATCTCACTCTCTTTAAAGCCCAAGTGGTGGTTTTTTGTTGTGTTGTTGGGTTTTTTTGAGAGAGGCATTTTACTGATGATAAAAACATTTTTACTTGTGATGTCCATTTTAAAAAAAATAATCTTTGGCTCTGTAGACTTAGTAGTCTGATCAATAATCAACAAATGTTATTTAACTCTCCTCTAATACAGGATATCATTGCAGCAAATCCTTGTCATTTATCTAAGTTCAATAGATGTTCTAATTTCTTAAAAAAAAAAAAAAAAAAAAAAAGACTTCTAGTGACTTTGACGTCTTTCTGAATTCTTCCATATGTTCTGATGAGTATAACGATTTACAAATATTAAGTTTTGTTTTTTAAAGGATTTAAAGCTTAAACCAAATCTCTCTTTTGCAGGCAGAGGTAGTAAAGGGGAAGAGAGAATGATTTTGGTATGTTGTGTGCGCATATGGTTGTGACATAGAAGAAGAAGCTTTGACAATGAAGATAGACGTTCTTGAAATTTTTTTTTTTTTTTTTTTTAATACAGTTTAATGACTATGGCTTAAACACGTCAAATTATTCAGGCATCACTCTCAGAACAGACCAACATAGCTACATTAAAGCTTTTGTGATGGCCTTATTGAGGGATGCCAGCACTTTTATGTAAGATTAAATGTGCACTTGCCTCACATGCTTTGTTAGGCCATAACTTAATGTGTGAAGTATTAGTCCTCTAAACAACGTTCCCAGTCATCTATTTGATTGATTTAAAAGCAGACTTGATAGCACTTGGTGATGTGTGTGGTGGGGATGAGAGAAGCATATACTATGATTGTTCCTGAATTGAGAGAAGGACAAGATAATCTTCTAGGTTTTTTCCATCTGCACCTTGTTAGAGGGCTGTAACTTTCATTTGACTGTAGTATGAGACAAGATGAGGAGTAGAAATGTGGTCTGTTATGAAGGCTGGGCATTCCTGTAGAAAAATGGCTTGTCTTCCAAACAGTGGCTGCTAATGTCCTTATGAATTCAATACTCATATTTTGAGGTTTCTTTAAAGGAATGTTATTAGGGCTTCCCTTCTTTTTGCCAGCCCAATAGTCTGTAACCATAGAATCTTGAATATTCATACTTCTAGCCTAATGAAATTGTCTCAGAAGCACCTTGGTAAACAGGTTGCCCTCTTCAGTGAAAAGGCTAAAGAAGATCAAAGTTGATACTTGGAATTCAAAAGTAAAAGTTTGCTTCATTTGAGGACTGCACCCCTTGCTCATTTCACCTCTGTTCTTCTATTCACAGATCACTGGGTAATATTTCTTTTCCCCCTCCTGATATCACTTGCAATGGATTATAAATAAGATGAATGTAAATTACTTGAGTTTGCACTAAAGTCCATGAACTATGGGATTGGTTTACTGTTATACTGTATCTTAATGAGCTGTTAAATGTTTTTTCTGAAATACAGTTGCATTCTTATTATTTTTGGCAGATCTTGATGTGTCCAGAACACGAAATGGAGAGGGTAAACATGTACTGTGAAATTTGCAGAAGGCCAGTGTGTCATCTTTGTAAATTGGGTGGGTCTCATGCAAATCATAGAGTAACAACCATGAGCACTGCCTACAAAACTCTAAAGGTAAGACTAAATGTCATTTAAGTTTGTCCTAAGAAAGCAGTGTAAGGTATTGCATGTTATAAACACTCCCAGGCTTTTGCATTTAGAGAATGTCGTAGTTAATGCCTTAACCATGTGGCTGTTGCACAACAGAACATGATGATGTAACTAGTTTCTTCAATCATATGAGTGGGTGTTAATGTCTATCTAAAACAATAAACTACATACTCTGGCTCATTTAAAATTATAAACCTTATCTGCTCATCTTTATAAAATGTTTCCGTTAATGCTTCTTTTAGCTCACTGTAAAGTACAGACTTCAAAAAAGTTAAGAACATGGCACTACTGACCAGTTTAGCTCAGCCCACTCTAGCTATTCCGGTAAAACAGTCTCTTGTCTTATGACTTGGGGAGGAACTGACCTAAAAAAACAAAGGTGCAAATGGAATTTCAAATGATGAAATTGTTTCTTAAATAGTGAAAAGCAAATGTGTCTGACAGCTGAAGCAGGTTCTAGAAGCCTAAAAGAACCACAAGTTAAATTAAATCAAAATTGAACTACTCTGCATATATGTAGAACTGTAGAGCAAACTTGAAATATTTTTTTTTCCTTTTTTGTGGGGTAGGGAAGTGGGAGTGTTGTTTATCTGAGCTACGTGGTCTAGGATAGGGTTCTTTTTTCATTCAGTGTCCAGCACTGGCTATTTATGCCACACTATCCTTGCAGTATTTCCAACTTTCTGGTTCTGGTGAAAAATAATGAGGTACAGAAGCAAAATATTCAGAAACTCCAAACAGCTCAATCTTAATTAGTCTTGGAAGATTTTTATTGGTAACTTTTGGTTAAAGTAAAATTCACCGTGTACACAAATCAATGCACAAATTTCCATTGATGATGATCACAATTTACATGTAGGCAAAGAATGAAAAATGCTCCTTGGAAACTTACTAGAGTTTAATTTAAGGACAGTTTGTATTTTACAGTTAAAAATTTAACTTTTTGAATCTTAGTGTTTACTGAAATTAAATTATTATATGACACTCCCTCCACCCCAGGAATATCCTGCAACTGTGAAAATTTAAATAGATAAAAATAGAAATGCTTAAAACTAAATGTTGATAGTTACCAAATAACATAAAAAAGTCAAATTCTTCGAGCCCTAATCATAATTACTTTAGTGTTTTTAAGATCTTATTTATATAAATGAAATATAAATTTATTAGTAATTATCACAAGACCTTAAATCTCACTCTTCAGGGTATGAGAAAATTGATTTCTAAGGTTGGGAAGAAATGTCCTTCGATGGTGTATGGTACAGTATAGCATGAACTTAAGTGCATTATAGAGATTTTTCACCTTCTTTGGAAACATCTGACACTGACTACAGATCACCAGGTAGAATTGATCAATGACCTGTCGTTCCTGTAATCTGTTGCTTATATATAATCCATGGCTGACTGTTGGGTTTCTGTAAATAGGTACATTTAACTGAACAACCCAAATTGAGTATTGGATGTCTGTCTTGTAGATGACTTACGTGCACAAACTGCCAGAACAGGTATATTATCCTGTTTTCTCTAACTTACTATTCTATTTCTACAGGAAAAACTTTCAAAGGACATAGAATACCTCATTAGTAAGGAGAGCCAGGTGAAAGGTCAAATTTCTGAACTGGGTCTTCTAATGAAAGAAACAGAGGTAGGAATAACTTATTGGTCAGATTTTGTTGTTAGACATTCATTCTCATTCTCTTTCTCTCTCTCAAAAAAAAGGTTGTGCTCTTATGTGTTTTCTCTAGACTGTCATATTCTATCTACATTGTAAATACAAATTGTATATGTTCTGCAAATTGGGATGATGCTTCAAAGTAGAACGTTACAGTGTGAGTGACATTGTACAAAATAATCAAAAGTTGCTTGGCTGGAGTTAAAGTACTAAATTAATATCTGATCACATCCAGTGATGAGTTGCCAAAATCTTAACAACGAGGGGGTCGTTGCCCACCCCTGCCCCCCCGGGACGACTGCCCCCAGAACCAGGCAGGAGGGTCTCGTGGGCCACCATAGTGGATGCCCATCCCGCCCCTAAGAGCCAGAGGGACCTGCCAGGGGGCGAGGTGGGGAGTCCCGGAGGTGCTTACCTAGGGCAGCTCCTAGGAAGCATCCGGCAGGTCCCTCTGGCTCCTAGGGGCAGGGGAGCGTAGCTAGGGGTTCCCCTGCATGCCCCGGCCCCCCGGGTTACCTGCTGTGGTGCGGGTGGCCCTCCTCGTGCCCCCCTCCCCGCCCCAGCTCACCTCCGCCTCCTGGGCCTGAGTGCGAAGCTGCCGCCTGCTTCTCAGCCCACCCTGATTCGCGGGAAGCCTAGGGGGACGGAGAAGCAGAGCAGGGTGGTGCGTTCAGGGGAGGAGGCAGAGTGGAGGTGAGCTGGGGCCAGGGGTGGGGCAGGGAGCTGCCAGTGGCTGCTCTGCACCCACCAAATTTTCCCCTTGGGTGCTCCAGGGCTGGAGCACCCATGGAGTCAGCGCCTAAGGCGCCGGTTAAATTTAGAAGCCCTTTTAGAACCAGTTGTCCCTCGCGGAACAACCGGTTCTAAAAGGGCTTCTAAATTTAGCAACCGGTTCTAGCAAACCGGTGTGAACTGGCTCCCACTCACCACTGATAACATCCCCTTATGCTATATATTTTTCAGGACAGGGAATATGTTCCATCTGCATTGGGTCCCCATTGAGCTAGAAATTTATAGGTGCTATGTTCTACAGCTAAATAGAAATAATATTCAGTGACTGTCCTGCAGAGAAGGAACTTGATCTAATAGGTCTCTTCCATCTTAAATTTTAGTTAGACTATAATACAGTCAAAATCAAATTTAAGGAAGTAACAGAATGAGAAAGTAGGAAGTTCAGGCTGGGAAAAAAGCTTACACATGAGACATAAGGGGCTGAGAAGAAGCTGGTATTACATAAGCAGAGAGAGTGTTCAGAGAGAATGGAAAATATAATAGGTCCAGGAGTTTTCACTTACCATATTTTAGGAAATCCAGCTTTAGTGTCTGTCTTGGGGAAATATATAAGCTTAAAGAGCCGCTGACACCAGGAAATTTTTAAAAAATCATGTTTCTACTCTCATATAATAGAAATAACTCTCCATTTACATGGGGAATATATGTGAATATTAGCTCTAAGGAAACTTCTTAGTGTTCTCCAGGGCTTAAATTATTCCATTCTCAAGTGCATTTGTTGAGCTGCCATCACAAAAGTTGTTCACGAATCAGTTTAAATCGTTGTGGGATGATGTAGGTGGAGAAATGCCTTGCATTGGTTCAAGGGTTTGCAATGGATGAGCAGAGAAGCATTTTCCTGTCTACTCATCGAACTACATTAGAGTTGTGAAATTGCCATGACAATTTCCCAACTCAGGCACAAAATCTACTCCGTTGCTCTTTATGTTGATGATGAAAGTACTGGTTTCAGAGTAACAGCTGTGTTAGTCTGTATTCGCAAAAAGAAAAGGAGTGCTTGTGGCACCTTAGAGACTAACCAATTTATTTGCGCATAAGCATGTGCATCCAATGAAGTAAGCTGTAGCTCACGAAAGCTTATGCGCAAATAAATTGGTTAGTCTCTAAGGTGCCACAAGTACTCCTTTTCTTTTTGATGAAAATACTGACGTCTGTTTTGCCTATCAAAAATTATTTGCCATGAATGAGTAGAACTTTGCAATGCTGTTCTGAAAATTTTTCATAAAACATCCTATTGCTTCCCATAAGATTTCACAGTACTACAGAATGAGTTCTTTTGTTTTTTAAATGCACTTTGTATTTTGTAATAGTGCAATGGTGAAAGAGCTAAAGAAGAAGCATCTAATAACTTTGACACGCTGTTTGATGTTTTGGAAGAGAGGAGATCAGCTGCTCTGAGGGCAATTGAGGCGTCCAAGAATTTAAGACTAGAGAAACTCCAAACCCAAATAGAAGAATATCAAGGACTTCTGGAAAACAATGGTCTTGTGGGATATGCTCAAGAAGTACTTAAAGAAACAGACCAATCTTGCTTTGTTCAAACAGCAAAACAGCTCCATGTTAGGTATTTAATTATCTTACGTTATAAAGAGTGTTTTAAAAGTTTTGTCTTATTTCTATCATATTTTTCACGTGTATTAAGATAGTGCTGTTTGTTAAATAAAATTTTGGATGTCGCTGATGCTCATTGTATAGAGGTTAATTTAATGAGCTCAGTCTTACTGAGGTGGCAATTCTTAAGTTGCATCGTAATATAGGAAACAATTTATGGAGATGAAAAGTCAGAAATTCATCCCTTGCAAAGCGACAAAGAGGAACACTGTTGGATGAATATATATCCCGCTGTTGGCGGGGAGACTATATCATGAATTTACAAAGGGATAGACTTGATGATCTAATAAGTATCTTCTGCCTCTAACCTCTTTGATCCTAAAAGCTGATCTCCATTAGTGGTAATGAATATTCATCTTGTTCTTTAAGCTGCTTTTGTGGAGGCAGCTTTTACATAAGATTTCACAGTACTACAGAATGAGTTTTACACAAACTGAAATGTGTAAACAGAAATATCAGTTTTAATCTGTTACCTTTTTAGATTTCTCTGTCACGGTGTACAGTGTTTGAAGTTTTTGGGTGAAATCCTGGCTCCACTGAAGTCAATGGGAGTTTTGCCTAGGACAGCAGGACTTCACGCTTTTTATTTTAATACTATTTTCGATACACTCCGGGTCAGATTCACGAGAGAGATGAAGGTGCTTTAAAGAAAAGTTAGGTGCCTAAGACCAACATTTTGACACCACTAGCATTCACAAAACCCCTCTTCTGTAGGTGCCTAAGTTCCCATTGTGTCTAAGTTTCTGCTGGTGGGTATATGCAAAGCCACCTAAATCTTGACAGTACCGAAAAATTTGGTACCTAGCTCACACTTAAGTCCCGGTGTTCCTCTGCCTATCCCTTCTTGAAAGGCCCAGTCTGGTAAACATGCTGCATCTGGCCTGGAGTTAGGCATCTAACTCCCTTTTGTGGGGCAGGGCTTAGACCTTTCTCCTTAGCATTTGCTGTCAGCTAGCTTAGGTGGCTGCCTGCTTAGCATGCTGGCTTCTCTGAATCCCTTCTTAGGCACCTAACTGTCCCGATATATTGTATAGGGAGTCTGGGTTAGTGAATTCCTCTAGGTGCCTATTAGGAAGCCTAAAAGTTAGGTTATGCTGTGCTCAGAGCCTAAGAGTATGTCTACACTGCAAAACCAAAGAAGACCTGTAACAGTGAGTCCCAGAGTATGGGTCTACAGACTTGGACTCCTGCCCATAGGGCTAAAAATAGCAGTGTGGGCATTCCTACTCAGGCTGGGATCCAGGCTCTGAAACCCAGTGAGAGGGAAGGGTCTCCAAGCCCACCTCCAGCCTAAGCAGGAAAGTCTATGCTGCTATTTTTTTGCCCCATAGCATGAACCTGTTGACCCAAGTTCTCAGACTCTTTGCCACAGGACCTTTTTGGCTGTGTAGACATACCCAAAGTCTCATTTTCCGCCCCCGCCTCTTGTGAATGTAGCCCTACTTTGCTAAATTATATATCTGTCTATGTATCTTTTCTCTCCCTTCTCCCTCCCTGCCATTTCAGAATTCAAAAAGCTACTGAATCTCTGAAGAGTTTCAGGCCAGCAGCTCAAACTTCTTTTGAAGACTATGTGGTGGATATAACAAAGCAAGAAGAGGTTCTTGGAGATTTGTCCTTTTACTCCAGTGGTAAGTTCAATAAAGGGGGTTGTTTTTATTACCTCTCTCCTGAGTTGTGACCCTGGTGGTGGGCTAGCTCTGACGGGAGGCTAGGTTTAGGTAGGATTCCCAAGCTCTTCAGACCATGGCTGCAGAGTTCCTTGAGGCGCCTCCCAAAAGCTGTTTTCCAGCAGAAAAAAGCTTTTTACGAAGACAGATTTCTGCACTCCCAACAATATGTTCTGAAACGTCAAGCTTCTCAGTCTCGTAGCTCCATGTTTACGAAGGGTGTGACTGCCATAGCAGCATGCCTGTGGTGCTGCAGCTGTGCCACCATAGTGTAGATGCTTCCTAGACCAATGGAAGGGGTTTTTGCATCAATGTAGTTAAGCTACCTCCTTGCGAAGCAGTTCCTATGTCACGGAAGAATCCTCCTATTGACCTAGCTGCGTCTACACCAGGAATTTAGGCCCTCCTAACGCTGATTAAGGCTGTGATTTAGTCAAGGAGGTCATGGACTCTGTGACTTCTTCCACTTCAGCTATCAGCAGCTGAAGTCAGAGCTGGCGGCAGGACTGTGTGGCCCCACCCTGCAACTGGGGCTGGATGGCTGGAACCAGTCCCCTGTAGCCCCTGCCCCGTGGCTTTGGGGGGAGCTGCAGGCAGGCTGTGAGCCCTGTTTAGGAGATGCAGCCAGCTCCATAGCAGGAGCTGTGTGGTCCCCATGGCTGCGCTCCACCCCAGTCCCCCGGCTGCATCCTAGCCCCGTGGCTTCTGTCAGGGGCTGCAGCGGGGACCATGCACCCCCCTCACACGTTCCAGGGCTGTCTCACATAGTGTCTCTCCTCTTCTCCTCCCCTCCACCCCACCCGGGGCTTGGTAGGGGCTGCAGGTGTGGCCGTGCACCCCTGTTCCACAGCTGTGGCCAACTCTGGAGCAGGGACTGTGCAACCTCTGCTGCGTCCCAGCCCTGCAGCTGCCGCAGGGGCTATGTATCCCTCCCATGGCTGCCTCCAGAGCTTGGCGGGGGCTGCAGCCAGGGCTATGCACTCCTGTCCTGCAGCTGCGGCCAGATTTGGGGCAGGGGCTGTGCGTCACCTGCTGCAGCCACTGGAGCCGGGGCTGTGCCCCCTGTTGGTTCTCCCCACCACCCCCACCTCCCTGATTCCATTCCTCTCCCCTTTAGCCCTGCTCCAGTTATTTTTTAGTAAGGTCAGGGACAGGGTCACGGGCTCCATGAATTTTTATTTATTGCCCGTGACCTGTCCGTGACTTCTATTAAAAATAACTGTAACAAAATCTTAGCCTTAACTATGATGCCCTGGGTGCAAAATTTTTCACAGTCCTGACTGACATAGCTTGGGTCTAATTTTTAAGCATAGACTAGGCCTGAGAGCATGAGTGGAACTCACTGCATGTTAAGACGTAGAATCGTCATAACACAGAAAATGGAAAAGTACTATTAGAGAGTGTGCATAGCAAACTTCAGTTTTGGGTAAAAATGAGATACATAGAAACGTAATGTATCCTGGCACATAGAACTACTTTACAAGTAACCACAATAATTGACATTTGTGTTTAGAGGTATTGATACCAAAAACTATTTCAGTAGCTGTTTGCTAATGCACTTATACCAGGATTGTTCTTTGATGGTTAGAAGTATCTTTTAGACTGGCAATAATACTTGGTCTAACTAGAAGTTTTTGTGCCTTGCACAACATACATAGATTTTTTTTTTAAACTTTCTGTAGTTTCTTGACATTTTAAATATATGGAAAAGGAATACTGGAAACTTTCAAAATGAGTACAGAGAACATGTCTTTCACCATGGGAGGAAGAACTTTCCATTACTTCATAAGCCATTTGTACACCAGTGATATGTAAAACTAATACTAATTGCTGTTTACGTACAAAAATTTTTTTTTCTTGTATCTTATGGCTATTTCAGGTCTAGATGTACCAGAGATCAATGAGGAGAGGAGCAGAATGTATAATAAAGCTTTGATCTGTTGGGAACATCTAGTGAAGGAAGATTCAGCTGATACCTATATCCTTGAATACCGTAAACTTAATAGAGAAGAGGAGAATGCAACATGGCAAGAGATTGAAGCCTGCAGCAAGAGTAAAGTCATCTCTGACCTTGAAAATAACAGCAGCTATACCTTTAGAGTCAGAGGATATAAAGGATCTATCTGTAGCCCCTGGAGCAGGGAAGTTATTTTACACACACCTCCAGCTCCAGGTATACCAAGTTTCAGTTAATCCATAGACAACTGAATCAATATACAATGCCTCCAGTTTCTCTTTAACCTATGCCCATTTTCAAGTAAATTTTAAATTTACAACCTGCTGTCATCCTTGTGGTGCATGTGAATGAATAAATAAGTATTGCATTTATTCATGAATTAAGGTTGAGACTAGTTGGCAGTCAGCTATAAGAGTTTTACTCTGTCTTGTATTGCACTACCAGTAGTTTATCTCTTATGTTAGCGCATCTTAGAAAAATTGTAAGATAAGTACAAAAAAACTCATGGTAAAATATTGACCTAGTGTGAATTTTTTGTGTTTTGTTTTTTTTAGTCTTTAGCTTTCTTTTTGATGATAAATGTGGCTACAACAGTGAACGTCTCATGCTGAATCCAAGGAGAACCTCTGTGGAAAGTAGGGCTGGATTTCCTTTGCTGCTAGGGGCTGAACGTATCCAAGTGGGGTGTTACACAACTCTGGACTACGTCATTGGAGACACTGGAATCACAAAAGGGAAGCACTTTTGGGCTTTTCATGTGGAATCTTATTCATACTTGGTGAAAGTGGGAGTTGCATCTAACACTAAACTACAAGAATGGCTCCATAATCCCCGTGATGTAACCAGCCCAAGGTAAATGTGGTAGATCTTTGTATAACATTTTTTTTAAAATGAGTGAATCTTTTTAAATAAATTAAAGGGACATCTTTCCATTTGGTAGAACTAAGAGTTGACCTTACCTCTAATTGGTTCCAATTAGGTTAGCTTCAGCAATTGTGTGTGGGGGTGGAGGGGTGAAAGAAGAGATGGGGAAACAATCTAGGGAACCTCTGATTTAAAAAAAAAAAATTACTGTACGTTTTCAGCAGTTGATTGACTTCCTGAGAAGCTAGCAATTAATATTGGTGTGTAAATTATCCAAAACCCTAGTTTGTCCCCTGGAGACAATTGAAGTATATACGTGTCTCACCTTACATAGCTTTCCATGACTTTTCAGATATTGCAAGTGTCCAGGATATCATAGGCTGTGGTAAGAAGGCTTTCCCAGAGTTCAGTGGGCCTGTTAGGTCGTGGAATAGACACTGTAATAATGCCCGTGACATTGTTTTTTTTAATAGTCTACTTTAGTGGACCTCACCGTCCCACTGATTGCAGGCATAGCACTGCACTGGAGTAAGATTTTCTGGCTTGGGGTAGCAGTCAAGGGGCAAAGTACAAATGAAGGACTTCCAAATATATTCAGTCACAACTGTAATAATCATGGATGCATCTACCGTGAGATGGAGAATCCATGTGAAGAAGTGTTATACATTCAGGGCACTCTGGTCCCTCCAGGAATCAAAACTTCACGGATAATGCTGTACGAACCAGAGCACTGCAGGAGGTTTGTGCAATATATCTTGCAACCATGCTACCTGGACAGATTTCCAAATGGTCTTGTGGACAAGGAAAGGATTGGGCATCAGGAGCTCTGGCTCTAACTTCTGGCTCTGCAACAGATTGTCTGCAACCTTGATCAATTCATGACACTGGAACCAGTTTCTTTTTCTGCGCCAAAAGGATAGTACTACTTTACCTCACAAAGTTCTTGTGAAACGAAATTCACTAACATTCAGGTGAGCTCAGAGACTATACTGATGAGCTCTATGTGGAACTGTTTAAAGTAGAATGCCTAATTTCGATAAGATGCACCAGTTCTGAGTTTTCAACTCTGGCAAGACCCCTTCAGCCTGATGAGACTTGCTCCATCAATCTTCTTCTATAAAAGCCAAAAATCAGAAAACCCCTAACCAATCTCTGAGTCAGTGAAGGACTAGCAGAATTGTTTGGTATGAATGCTGAGCAGTGTGCACCATGGGAGGAAGTTCAAATTCAAAAGTTTTCCTCCCGATGCTCATAAAAGAGTTTGAGATTGGACATCCATTTTATGAGCATCTGTTGCAGAGCCAGAAGTTAAATACAGCATTATCTGCTTATAAAATACTTCAGTTTAAAATAACTGAAAGCATTCTGACTTTGATTTGTTCATTGAGAAAATTGTGCTCTTTGATTCTAGATATGAACAAGACAGCGGTCATGACAGTGGGAGTGAAGATACCTGCTTTGACTCATCACAGCCTTTCACATTGATTACTTTAGGCATGAATAAATTCTTTATTCCCAAGGCACCTACTGCTCCCAAAGATTCTGCAAATAGAATTCTTCCAATGCCATCTTGTATAGGAATCTGCCTTGACTGTGACAGAGGCAAAGTTGGATTCTATGATGCAGACCACATGAAATGCCTCTATGAGCGCCAGGTAGACTGCTCTAGTACAATGTATCCAGCCTTTGCATTAATGGGGAGTGCAGGAATTCATCTTGAGGAAGCCATCACAGCAAAGTATTTGGAATACCAAGATGATATATAGTGCAAATATCTACTGGTACTGTTTTTGAGATGAAAAATGTGAGCAGAAGGATCTGCCTTAGCATTAAGTCTTGATTAATTACATCATATCTCCTAAGTGCTTTTGCTGCACTCATGCTTTTGGGTCATTTTTTAATCGTAGAAACAAAAATTGTTGTCCAACCTCTTCCGCCTTTTTACCAACTTATATTGCCCATAAGGACATTCTTCCAGTCGCCCTCCTGCCTTTCTTTGATTGTGTGGTGAAACTTGCTCCTCAGAGTTTGATTAGCAACCTAATTGTCTTTCAGGAGCTGGAAACCTGTTGGTTATATAATTTATATCCTTACTTAGCTGGCTCTGCTGGTTTCACTTTTGTTTTTTTTAATGGAGTCAGGGCCCACATAATAGTGCATTTATTGTGATTATCTTGTATGCGTCCTTTTATTTTAAAAGAAGCTTGTCTGAATGAATTTGAGTGGTCAAGCATTTTTGTAACTGACTCATGAGCACCAGTGAGATGGATTTTTCTGTGCTAAATAATGTTTGCACCAATAGAAAATGCAAAGCAGTAGGAAATCAAAACTGCACTAAATAGGTTATATTTGGGGTGTGTGTGTGTGTGTGTGGGGGGGTAATTATTATATCTGATATACATTTAGATTGACTATAAGCTAAAATTATGACTTCCAGAAACTGGTGGATAACTGTACAAGTGGTAAATAATGAGGTTCTTAAATATCCCTTACTATCCCAGGTTTTTAGTATGGACTGTATAAAGTATATTTTTAAAAGTGCAATTTGTCTTGAAACATTGGTCTTCAATGTCTATGAAGCTCAGTTATCTGCATGTAAAATAATGGCTCCTGGTCTTTTGCTGGGAAAAAAACAAATGAACTGGCACAAATGATAAAATACATAAACAACTTTTTAATTAAAAAAATCAGGTCTTTCTGTTAATACATGTTTTGTAAGTTAATGTTGTCTTCAATAAAGGATTGTTTTTTCGTAAGAATGTGTTAGAAAAATGCACTGATTACATTTGAGACTTTCTTTCTTTGCCTTAATGTGTCTGTTTAGCTCAAACATTTGCTTGTTGTTGTATTAAAATTTTTTAATGTTGCAGTGTTTGTATGTTTGAAAGCAGTTTGTGCAAAAATGGTGTAAATATCTGCACTGTTACCATAGCTCATAAGAAACATGCATCTCTAAAATTGAAAATATTCCTGAAATATAAGATATTTAATAACTCACTGTTCTTGTTTGGTTGTGATTGTCTGTCTTGATGGATGTAAAGAGTAAATATGTGAAGTACATTTATTAAGTATATAGTATTTAAGTAAATACTTAAATGGAACCTGAAAATCAGTGTTTTTTTTTATCCAAGATTGAGGGTATTAATCATTCTGGATCATAAACCTAAATGAATGCAAGGTAAAGTTAGTTTTATTTGAGATTTGCCACATATGCCAGAACTTATTTATTAGATAGTGACTAATAAATAGACTACTATAAAAGGCCAATATGCCTGTCAACTGAACTATGATCCAGCTTCTGACATTGCTATTATATGCGTCTCCTCATTATTTGAATTAAAAATTGTTTTGCACTGGGAATTACTTGAATACTTTGGACACTTTAATACAGTAATAAATGGTGCTTGCTCCTTCAGTGTATTAAACAGAAAACATACTACCTTGACTGTACAGAGGCAAACGGTTTTCCATTTTTCACAATAATTGAAAAAGTGTCATCTTCTAAAAACACAGTTCAGTGACACTTGCCTATCCAAATATTTTGAAACTAATTTCTTGCTACAAAATAGCACTTTACAATGTAGACAAAGCTAAGAATTGTGTGGTATGTTTGGATCATTATGCAATATAGCTGCTAAACAAACAAAACTGTTGGTGACTACTGTGGTCTGCAAAGTTCTATACAGTATAGGCGTAAATCATGGAAGATGCTTTTCTTAAACATCTAAAGCTTTAACCAGAATATATTTGAACAAGACCTTCTTGTTCTTAAGTGTAAATGTAACTTCACTTTGGTTTTGCTTTTTTAAAATAAAAACTGAAAAGTAATGTAGTTGGGTGATTCACATTATTACATTCTAGTTCTTAAGCATTTTGCTGTTAAGATGTGGTAATTTCTTACAGGAGCTGAATGTTGGTTTTTAGATGGGAAAAAATTCATGTTCTTAGTGTAAGAAAAGTCTATTCAGTTATGCACAGATATTTTGAAGTGTGATATGTAACCCACACACCTTCTGGGTGTGGTGTCCTGTCCCATCTCGTGGCACTGAGACCACTTAGAGAGAGATGGAGTCTGCTTTACAGCCTTAGCTAACAGCTGGTTAGCTTTTAGCTCATGCAGTAGAGGTTCATGCACTAAGCTCCAGAGGTCCCTGGTGCAATCCTGCCCGCAGACAATTGGAATCTGTTGGTGTTACACATATAAAATGAGATAAATGCTTATGGCATTCTTCTCCTTGGTTCTCAGAGTAGATTAATCTATTTTAGAGTTAATGCTGTTATATCAATAAAATAAAAACCAGCAGGATCTTATTAAAGGGAAAAAGGCAAAATACCACATTTATTGTGAATACAGAAAGAATCATAGTAAGCAGTTATAGTTATAACATTCCATTCAATCTCATATTTATTCACACATTCATTCATACAAACACACACACAGGTTCTGCAAGGTTGTTATCATAGTTACCAGCCTTAGAGTTGCTCATGCCAAGCCACTGGCCAGGTGGCCTGGACATGAGGAGGGAGCAGGGCCTTGTCAGATGCTCATCTGATGCTCCTGGAAGTTGGTTTTCAGAATCAGACCCCAAAGTTCTCACTTTTTAGAGTCTATTTTTATAGGAATATCTTCCTATGCCAGTCTATGGGAATTGCTTCACCATGCTGTTGCTGAATCAATCAGCAGATAGCACATTCCTGACGGCTCCAAGATGTTATCTTGTTCTTTGGTTCTCCCATTCTTGAGGCTGTTGGGTGGATTCCAGTCTGCCCTCCGGGGGGGGGGGGGGGTCCTCTGGTTATTTCCACTTGACGCCTTCTTCAGCCGATGGACACTGGATTCTTAGGCTGGCACCTCCCTGATCATTCACTTATTATCCACACTAAGCATCCATCCACATACATCCTCTATCTCTATTTTAATCACAATTGTTAATACAACAAAAGGGTGGGGAGTCTCTGGGTGCTGTTTCTGTTGTTCGAGTATTGCTTTGAGTCTCTCTCTCTGTGAATTGCTTTGAGAACAGACTCTGTCTTAGAATGTACTAACACAATTAGCAGCTTGCAAGTTTCATACATAGAGGGAGAGAAACAGTACCAAAAACCAAGAGACCTCTTAATTAGTAATACCCTGGAATTTAAACTCTGGGGAATCAAACTCATTTGTGATTTTAATACAGAACTTCTTTAATATGATCCAACAATGCCACTTTATCTGGAACGGCTGTGATTTAACGATTTCTGATAATTATTGACCTCACCTATGCTGCACCATGAAAATGAAGTTATATGAAACTTCTTAAACATGGAATTTGTTGCTTTCCTATTTTGTGGCGGTGGGTTTTCTGCATTGGTCACTACTTTTTTTTTTTTTTTGCATACTGAGAGCTATGGTTAAGTTTACGATATAACAAATTAGTGAACTGTGAACAAATAAATGTCAATATGGCTCAGCTGGATTCTCACTTCTGAGGCAGAAGGGCTTGGTTCATGTTTCATCCACAGAGTTGGGTTCATACGCAGTGCTGACTTTTATGAGTTGCTTGGCCTTTAGTGTTGCTCTCTACAGAGACTAAAGAACAGTCTGTCTTCCCAACCTTTCATCTGTGCAAGTAAATGATCCCATATACCTTTTCAAAGAGGTAAGGGGGCAGTCCAGATTTAGCCAACCCAAGTTCAAAACACTGTATTCTGTTAAAGGCGGAAATGGTGCTCTTGTTTGTATAGTGACTGCACTAATACATTATAACTTTTTGTGTAAAGTGCCTTGAGTGATGCACCTTGAATATGAGAAATGCTATTTAAAATAAATGATGGTGGTGCGGGGGAGAGCAACTGTGAGACTACAAGTAAGCATTCTCTGAGAGTCACTTGAGTTGAGGTAGATCTTGCAGATACTTCCTGGAAGCACATAATTTGAGGGGCATAGTTAAAGACTTTGTGGTCTCTGACTGGAGCTGGATTTTTAATCTCTATCACAGACTTGTTCATAATTAAATCTTACTTTTAAGATTTAGGAAAACACGACTATAAAAGTTTATCCGTATGAGAAAACTCAATGTGAGACTTCAGTGCAAATTGAGAGAAGTGGCTTTGGCGTGGCCTGAGGAACATTTCTAGTTCCTTGGCACTGCAATAAGGCTTTTTTGTGTCTTTTTATTACCAACCATAAACATTGCACTAGGCAAGTCCAACTGAGTATGAAGGGATTCGTTTGTTTTCGCTGGCCTATCTAGTTTGACAGACTGTCCTTATAGAATTCTTAACCCCTTCCTCCCTCCCTTTTCTGCGCTGCTAGATAGAATCCTTAAGACAGAAGTGTGAGAATCTAAGGGCTTGTCTACACTGGTACTTTACAGCGCTGCAACTTTCTCGCTCAGGGGTGTGCAAGAACATCCCACTGAGTGCTGCAAGTTTCAGTGCGGTAACGTGACCATATGGACAATGCACCAGCGCTGGGAGCTGCACCCTTATGGGGGTGGTTGTTTTTTTTTAAGAGTGCTGTGATGCAACTACACTGCTGTGGCAGTGCTTTAAGGTTGCCAGTGTAGACAAGCCCTAATTCAGTGCTTCTCAAACTTTTGTACTGATGACCCCTTTCACAGAGCAAGCCTCTGAGTGAAACCCCCTGTTAAATATATTAAAAAAAGTGGTTTTAATTTGCCACCAGCATTTATAATGTTATAAAGTGGGGTTTGGGGTGGAGGCTGACAGCTCGTGACCCCCCACATAATAACCTGATGATCCCCTGAGGGTCTCAACCTCCAGTTTGAGAACACCTACCCATATGCAATATCTCTTCCTACTCCAGTTTAAAAACAGTGCTTTTGTCTCTGCCTCTGCACTCGAGAGGAAACTGTTTGGTCCCTATTTGTTTGCATCCCTTGATTTAAGAAGGTGTCAGTCGCCCAGCGAGCAATGAGGCCCTCTCAAAGTTGTCCATACAAAACCAGATCTCTCTCCCTCACGCCTCAGTGAGAGAGAATGGGGGTATATCTTTGAGCGTAACATGTGGTAATGTCGTTTGAAAAGGTTGTAAGGGAGTAAAACTAAATCTTAATCTATTTATTTGAGCATAAGCATCCGATGAAGTGAGCTGTAGCTCACGAAAGCTTATGCTCACATAAATTGGTTAGTCTAAGGTGCCACAAGTACTCCTGTCATAAATATAAAGGGAAGGGTAAACCCCTTTGAAATCCCTCCTGGCCAGGGGAAAGCTCCTCTCACCTGTAAAGGGTTAAGAAGCTAAAGGTAACCTCGCTGGCACCTGACCAAAATGACCAATGAGGAGACAAGATACTTTCAAAAGCTGAGAGGAGGGAGAGAAACAAAGGGTCTGTGTGTCTGTCTATATGCTGGTCTTTGTTGGGGATAGACCAGGAATGGAGTCTTAGAACTTTTAGTAAGTAATCTAGCTAGGTATGTGTTAGATTATGATTTCTTTAAATGGCTGAGAAAAGAATTGTGCTGAATAGAATAACTATTTCTGTCTGTGTATCTTTTTTGTAACTTAAGGTTTTGCCTAGAGGGGTTCTCTATGTTTTTGAATCTAATTACCCTGTAAGATATCTACCATCCTGATTTTACAGGGGGGATTTCTTCATTTCTATTTACTTCTATTTTTATTAAAAGTCATCTTGTAAGAAACTGAATGCTTTTTCATTGTTCTCAGATCCCAGGGTTTGGGTCTGTAGTCACCTAGGCAAATTGGTGAGGCTTTTTACCAAACCTTGTCCAGGAAGTGGGGTGCAAGGTTTTGGGAAGTATTTTGGGGGGAAAGACGCGTCCAAACAGCTCTTCCCCAGTAACCAGTATTAGTTTGGTGGTGGTAGCGGCCAGTCCAAGGACAACGGGTGGAATATTTTGTACCTTGGGGAAGTTTTGACCGAAGCTGGTAAAGATAAGCTTAGGAGGTTTTTCATGCAGGTCCCCACATCTGTACCCTAGAGTTCAGAGTGGGGGAGGAACCTTGACAACTCCTTTTCTTTTTGCGGATACAGACTAACACGGCTGCTGCTCTGGAATAAATCTTAATAATTTTACTCTACAAAAAAGTGATGGAATGAAAGAGAGTCCTACTAAAAAAATACATAGGAGTCATCAGTGCTTTCTAAATAAAGTTTTTCAATAAATGAAGATAAGAACCACTTGTGCAAGACCAGCTCAAGAAATAAGCATGAGCTCTTAACGTGCCTAGATATATTTATCCAAATAACCAAACGAAGCAGTGAATTATGGAGTGTGAAGCGCCACTGCTGTTCCATCCTATGTATAAATATATTTAGCCTCTTTTTCACTATGGAGAAAACTGGGCTGCTAAGGTAGAGCATAAGCCTGAGTCAGCTAATTCATTCTGGCACTTGTTCCAAGAGCCCTCCCTTAGTACTCATGCTTTGAATACCAGTGGCAAAGGGGTAACATCCTTATTTAGGACTTTGCATATTACTGAATTGGATGCACCTGTAGGTGCTCTTTAGTGGCATGATAAATCAAGTTACTTGCAATATATCCTTTTCCACAGTATAGTCCCTCTTCAGATGCACACTATTCAGTGTTAATGGGAGATGCCTGCGTGAGGCATATACAAAGGACAATCCACATTTGGTTTTGTTCAATCTTCCATTAAACACCATTACATCATGTTACATTACTCCACCTAGAATGAGGCAACACTGTGCAACTTCTCAATTATAAGCCCTATTTGAGGATTTGCTTTCCACCTTTCCTCTGTTTCCTTTGTTGGTTAAGCCAAGAAATTACACACACCAGGGTGTGGTACCTGATCTTGGTAGTGGTAAACTCCTAGCAGGGTCATTTGTCCCCTTTTAAGG